TTATTATTATTATTTATTATTTCAGTGTATGTCAGTATTGTTTTAACACGAACTCGGAGAGAAAAAAAAACTATCCTTTAACCTAATTTTAAAGCTTTCTGCAGCTCAACTTATATAAAGCTTTTTACTATAAAGCATCTTTATGCCTTCAGCAACAAATTCAGCGACTACTAACTTTCTGTTGAGTAAAAGTAGGTCTACATAAAGATTTAATTCTGCAGGGAGGGATGGTGGAGAGTTTTCAAAGCTCACACATTCGACGTGACACCTTTTACTTTTATAAGCATGTGAATATGTTATACGAGGGGTGTGAAAATAAATAAAATACTAACAACAAGTGGCCTGAATTGTAAAATACATTCTCACTGAGTTCCACCCAGCCCGAGGAGTTGTTTTAAAAAAAACTGAATATAATTAAAGGACTTAGATGGTCGTTAACCAAAATAGCTGCTGTTCTATCAACTCAGTGAGACGACTGACAATTGTGTTTATTGCTACAATAAATCAGTGCGCAAAATAAATCAATAGACACAATTACAACATTATAAACAGCCACTTGACTACTTGAAAGTGTGGGGTACTGGCACAGACTAACGGGTCTTTATGGTGCCCTCCATAAACTGATTTTAAACACTTTGTTCCACTCTTTTCTTTCTACCAATCTAGAAATACTTTTTAAAAATGGTTTCCAAAGCTTATAACTCAAAAAAGGTTTGGACAAGGAAGAATAGGCAAAGAAAATGAACATAACCTAAAACTTATACCAGCAGGAGAGCAGCTGACCTGTGTTTGCATTTACTTTTCCAAAACTAACATATTCCTGCAAACGGACGCTCGGGTATCTTTGAATTTTAAATCATAAATACGTGTGTTATATTGATCACATGTGGAACCAACACTTCCACCGCGGAGGAAGAGGAAACAGAGCAGATCTGTACTTGTGACACTTCCAGGAGCAACATGAGGCCCCGCCCCCTCCAGTCTGCAGAGAACACACACCGTTAATCAGTGTGTGTGTGTGTGTGTGTGTGTGTGTGTGTGTGTGTGTGCGTGCGTGTGAGAGAGACGCCTGCATTATGTCGAGGCTACAGTCATGATATAGTAGAGCAGGGATAAACAGACCAATTACAGAGGAAGTGGCTCTGTGTGTTCGATGAAAAGGGGTCTATCATTTACTGCTCCAGGCTCACAAACTAACTTCTGCAGTGTGATTGGTGTTGATTAAATTTGTGTGTGTGTGTGTGTGTCTGTGAACGTTGTTATGAAAAGTAAATTGCCCCTTTCTGAAGTCACTGTAATCACTGCCTTCCAACTGGAAGACCACACACACACACACACACCCCCCTCTGGACCCAAATCAAAGCAACTTCCAGGTTTAAACTTTTCTAAAAATAGTCAAACTATGTCAGTTGTGGCGTCATTTCGTCTCCAGCTTCGTTTCTGTTCAGGAATTTTACCTTTTTTAGTCCGAAGTTAACCTGGAAACTGATCCGTGTTTTCATTTTGTCACGTCTTGACTACTGCAGCTCCTGTGCAATTCCCCTTAAACCCAGTAAATCCAGTATAATTTACACCTGAATTATCCAGTACTCTGGAAAGATGAGCTTAGCCAGAAAAAGGTCGACTGGAGCAACAGAAGGGAGATTATATAATGTTGATGCAGACCTTTAGCTTACGTAATTCCTATTAGCTAATACCGAATAATTTGGGTTAGTGACTTCCAAAACATATCAACCTCGTCTTAAGTCTTAATTACAGTAACATTAATCTTTTCCATTAAACAACTAATTCCTAATGTTGTTTATGTTACCTTGTTACATAAATGTGTTCAAAATAACCTGCTGGGAGGTGTTGCAGAGGTTTATCCTGTCCTAAAAGATAGATTTTGAGACATTTACGGGGAGTGGTGGCAATTTGTTTAATAGGACAGTTTAAAGTCTAAAAGACTGAGACAGCAGCTGAGAAAACAACCTCACCGCGGTCATGTGATATGTTGGAAAGCTCCAGAACAGCTACTAAATGGACCTTGTTATGAGACTGTTTTCTCAACCAATATAGAGGTTTTAGCAAACCACTGTGTGCGGCTCATATGTGAAAGGCAAGGATAAAAACTATGTGACTCTTTATCCTTGACTCAAAGTTATGGCCTCTCAGTGCGTACAAGCAAAGCATCTAAAATGCAGCAGAAATGAACAACATTTAGATTTGTAATGTGAATAAAAGTTTATTTTTAATCCTCGTCTGGAAATATGTGAAGAGCAATCTGAACACACTGGTTGTGACAGACACTTGGACACTCAGAAGAGCCGACTCGGTGCAGCGGGGAGAGAGAGAGAAAAGCATAGCAGTGTCCTGAAGTTACTCTGCTGCGTTCAAAGACTCTGCGGCCGCTTTTGTGGCTCAGAGACTTTCTGTCCTTGCTCTCTTGCTGTCTAAGCTGTCAGATCTACTGTACACTTTAGTCTCCACAGCTTCTGTGAGTCAGCATTACTTAACCTGCTCAAAGTGCGCTGTGGCACCAACTTTCCCTGCGATGCTCCACTGCCCTGACACACACACACACAGACACACAGACACACACAGACACACACACACACAGGTTCAGAGAGTGAGAGAGTGTCTGTGTGTTAATGTCCTACCATCTCAGAACTGTCAGCAGCAGAGAAGTGGCTGTCACAGTCAGCTCCTTCAAAGTGGACGGTCCAGGTACCAGGCGAACGGGGGTGGGGTACTAACCTACAAAAACCTGGGAGAAGAAACACACACAGTTATTTTACAGTACATTTTCACTGAGTCATAGATCTAAATTCTGTGTGTAAAAACACAAACTTTAGAACAGACTAAGCTACTCTTTCTCTCACATAACTGTCAATAATACATCGTGTATAATGTGTTTTTCTAACTAAAAAGTTAAATTTCCACATTAAAAGTACTTAAAATTAATCTTCTCTTTCTCCCTTTCAAGTGTCAAACTGCACATAAATCATTCTGCCCAGCCAAGGTCAAACATCCAGGTTACGCAACAATTAGCAAAACTTAAAACAATAAATATATTCGAGCGTGGGGTGGTCCCGGTCACTTTACCTCTCTGCAGCAGCGGCTCCAGGAAGTCCTGCAGGCCGTTGGGGAGGCTGCGCACCACATCGCAGGAGTAGCCGTCCTCGGGAAGGAGGAAGGGCAGCTGGAGGTCTGGATCCTCCTCCAGCTGAACCTCTCTCCCATCACTCCTCGCCAGCTCATCGGCTGTGTTTTCTGCCACTGCCACCACATGGTCTATCAGCTCCTGTACACACACACACACACACACACACACACACAGTCAGACAACAAGAACAGGCTCACAGTTTACATCTAAAGCAGATGTGGTAAAACTATGTTAAGTTTAGAAATGATGTTTAAGTTGAATGCTCTGTATTTTGTTGCTTCTGTCTTACAGGCGGGATGTAAGGCTCGTCCGGAGCACAATGGTAGTTGGTCATGAGGGCGTGGAGCTGCAGGGAGTTGAGCTTAAAGCAGGTGTTGTGGATGTTCTGCACATCCTGCATGGAGTATTTGTCCATGGTGAGAAGGGTGGTGGCCTGGAGGAGACAAGAAAATACATTTAAATGAGTTACACATCTTTAATATTATCCTTTCTATCCTTTACACAATGTTATCCTTTATGCATTTGACTATATTTAATGTGTATGTAATCACATATCCAATCCACATATACTATTTTGAAAACTGGCTTTTAAATGTTCTTTAACGTGCAAGTTAGTTTGATTAAAGTTTCTCACTGTAAGTAAAAGTCAAAAAAGCCAAAGTTCAAATGAGACCTTTTCTGTTCTCGCTGGTTTGAAAAGGCGAGGCCGCGTTGTGACGCCAGCTGTTTCCACGCATCACTTCAAATTTAACAATACAATAATCAGAATCTGACGACAGCTGTTGGGTTGTTTGCTTATATTGCCCCGGGGAGACGCCCACGTCAGTTAAATCCGGTCAAACAACACTCACGTAGTCCTGAAGAAGCAGATGAGCTGAGATTTTGAGCTTTGAACTCTTATACAGTGAGACCTTATAAGGTAAGTTTCTAACTGTAACTTTAACTGTGGATTATGTGGTCATAAACATTGAATGATAGAAAGAAATACAGCGCATTCCATTTCTAAAAGTTCCTGCCAAACAAACTGCACTGTATCTGTGTGTATATCTGGATAAAATGTATTTGTAATGACACTACTGTTGGTCTGTGTACCACTCTGAGTACCAAAGACTTGTCTTAAACAGCTTATAAAAAAGGGAAACACCGGCAAGAGAATTCCCCACTGGCATTTGTGGGACTGATCACTTAACATCCCAATAGAGCTTAAAACAAATGAAAACACTGTTCAATCTGTTCGTGTCTCAGCAGACTTCCCTCGTTTCCCTCCGTCCTTCTCACCTGTACAATCCGACTGAGGTGGCAGTCTGCGGCGAGCTCCAGACCCTGTTTCTCCGCCCAGGCCTCGATGTGGCTGAGCTGCTGGCGGAGGATGGCCCCCCAGTAGTGACAGCACAGCCCCGAATCCGTGTCCGTCACCAGCTTGTTGAAGAGCCACATGTTGATGAAGTGGAAGAGTTGGGAGAAGAGCTGGATGGTCAGGGCGGCGTTGACTCGACACCGCCGCAGTAACGACATCGCTCCCGTCAGGGTGTGCAGGACGTCCTCTGCAAAGAGGAGAAAGCAAGAGGCATCTCGTTAACTCCTGTGCTAAACCTTCTTGATGTAAAGAATCTGCCACTCAATCTCACTTAATGAGGGTACGGACAGCTGAGAGGGGCTGTGATTACAAGATTGTGCTTCAGGCTCAGAACTACTCCAAGTGTTTTCACATCTCGGTTGTTGCCTTTTGAAATTTCCCCATTGTGGGACTATTAAAGGAATATCTTATCTTATTTCATGAGGCTGGAATACAAATTTTAAGCCATGTGTAAAAACACTGATGTAGGTCTTGGTTTCATCGAGGTTTGGCCAGTTACAGATTTTTCTCTGACTGAAGGTATCCACTGGAGTTGCATTTCCCGCTCTGACGCTGAGACCCCCAAAAAGCAGTGCAGGATAAATTCACTCTAGAAGGTTACTTGGACACCACATGTGCTTGTATATTACCGATTTTGGGTCTCTGTGGATTATGTTCCTCTGGGTCGTCCAGGAAGGCAGGCATGTAGTTGTTCAGATCAGCCTGGAGACAGTGGACCAGGTACCTGCACCCACACAATGCAGCTCGTTAAAGACAACAGACTTCACCCTCAAACAAAA